TTTTATCTTCTTTTACTTCTTACTTTTATTTATGCTCTTATCTTAACTCCTCTTAAGTTTTAACTTGGTCATTTCTTATCTTACTTTGTCTATTCATGTTTTATATTTATATTTACTTTTTATTTTTATTAATATTATAGTTTTTTTTTTTATCCTTTGACCACTTGTTTACTGCTCTTACCTTCTTATTGCTGCTCTCTTTGATCTCTTTTAGTTTCTTACATCTTTTTAAATCTTTGCTCCTCTTGGTCTCAGCTCGTGTTGTTGGGTTCTTGTGTTGCCTGGGTTCTTATGATGGTTCTTTTGATGGTTCTTATGATGGTTCTAGTGATGGTTCTTGTGATGGTTCTTGTGATGGTTCTTGTGATGGTTCTTGTGATGGTTCTAGTGATGGTTCTTATGATGGTTCTTATAATGGTTCTTGTGATGGTTCTTGTGATGGTTCTTATGATGGTTCTTATAATGGTTCTTGTGATGGTTCTTGTAATGGTTCTTGTGATGGTTCTTATGATGGTTCTTATGATGGTTCTTATAATGGTTCTTGTGATGGTTCTTGTGATGGTTCTTGTGATGGTTCTTGTGATGGTTCTTATAATGGTTCTTGTGATGGTTCTTATAATGGTTCTTGTGATGGTTCTTGATGGTTCTAGTGATGGTTCTTGTGATGGTTCTTGTGATGGTTCTTATGATGGTTCTTGTGATGGTTCTTGTGATGGTTCTGGTGATGGTTCTTATGATGGTTCTTGTGAGGGTTCTTGTGTTTCTGGGTTCTTGTGATGGTTCTTGTGATGGTTCTTATGATGGTTCTTGTGATGGTTCTTATGATGGTTCTAGTGATGGTTCTTATAATGGTTCTTATGATGGTTCTTGTGATGGTTCTTGTGATGGTTCTTATGATGGTTCTTATAATGGTTCTTATGATGGTTCTTGTGATGGTTCTTGTGATGGTTCTTGTGATGGTTCTTGTGATGGTTCTAGTGATGGTTCTTATGATGGTTCTTATAATGGTTCTTGTGATGGTTCTTGTGATGGTTCTTATGATGGTTCTTGTAATGGTTCTTGTGATGGTTCTTGTAATGGTTCTTGTGATGGTTCTTATGATGGTTCTTATGATGGTTCTTATAATGGTTCTTGTGATGGTTCTTGTGATGGTTCTTGTGATGGTTCTTGTGATGGTTCTTATAATGGTTCTTGTGATGGTTCTTATAATGGTTCTTGTGATGGTTCTTGTGATGGTTCTAGTGATGGTTCTTGTGATGGTTCTTGTGATGGTTCTTATGATGGTTCTTGTAATGGTTCTTGTGATGGTTCTGGTGATGGTTCTTATGATGGTTCTTGTGAGGGTTCTTGTGTTTCCTGGGTTCTTGTGATGGTTCTTGTGATGGTTCTTATGATGGTTCTTGTGATGGTTCTTGTGATGGTTCTAGTGATGGTTCTTATAATGGTTCTTATGATGGTTCTTGTGATGGTTCTTGTGATGGTTCTTATGATGGTTCTTATAATGGTTCTTATGATGGTTCTTGTGATGGTTCTTGTGATGGTTCTTATGATGGTTCTTGTGATAGTTCTGGTGATGGTTCTTATGATGGTTCTTGTGTTTCCTGGGTTCTTGTGATGGTTCTTATGATGGTTCTTGTGATGGTTCTTGTAATGGTTCTTGTGATGGTTCTTATGATGGTTCTTGTGATGGTTCTTGTGATGGTTCTTGTGATGGTTCTAGTGATGGTTCTTGTGATGGTTCTTTGTGATGGTTCTTGTGATGGTTCTAGTGATGGTTCTTGTGATGGTTCTTGTGATGGTTCTTATGATGGTTCTTGTGATGGTTCTTATAATGGTTCTTGTGTTTCCTGGGTTCTTGTGATGGTTCTTATGATGGTTCTTGTGATGGTTCTTATGATGGTTCTTATGATGGTTCTTGTGATGGTTCTTATGATGGTTCTTATGATGGTTCTTGTGTTTCCTGGGTTCTTGTGATGGTTCTTATGATGGTTCTTGTGATGGTTCTTATGATGGTTCTTATGATGGTTCTTGTGATGGTTCTTATGATGGTTCTTATGATGGTTCTTGTGATGGTTCTTATGATGGTTCTGGTGATGGTTCTTATGATGGTTCTTGTGATGGTTCTTGTGATGGTTCTTATGATGGTTCTCATGATGGTTCTTGTGATAGTTCTGGTGATGGTTCTTGTGATGGTTCTTGTGTTTCCTGGGTTCTTATGATGGTTCTTGTGATGGTTCTTGATGGTACGGAGCACAGGTGCTGACAGGAAGTGACCAGAGACAGAGCACAGGTGCTGACAGGAAGTGACCAGAGACAGAGCACAGGTGCTGACAGGAAGTGACCAGAGACAGAGCACAGGTGCTGACAGGAAGTGACCAGAGACAGAGCACAGGTGCTGACAGGAAGTGACCAGAGACAGAGCACAGGGTGATGAGTTTGGGTGTGCAAAGTGTTTGATGGTGATTGTGAGACAGAGCAGATGTTTGTTGTCCTGTGACAGCTGTAAAAACTGGACTAACGTATATTTCTATAACGTCCAGATGTTAGTTATCGTTCTCTGTAGGAGGTCGGACTGGACAAGCACAGAACAGTTTGAAGCTGGATCAGATCCTCATTCTGTCGGGGGGGGGGAGAGGAGAGGTATGAGAACACCAATGGTTCCAGCAGCTGCTCCCCCCCCTCCACCCCCCCTCCTCCAGCGACCTTCAGTTTGTTAGTTTAGTCTGAAGAAGTTAATCATACATGAGAGAGAAAAGCTGCCTCACTCTCTGCTGTCAGGGAGCTGGAGGACACGGGGAGAAGACTCTGAACCGCTCTGCACAAAGATTATTTATTTATTTATTTATTAAAGTACAAAGTGACTTTTTCATCTGTTTTTGTTTGACTGACACTCTGAAGCTGAAATAAATCTCAGGTTCACACGGACATCAAGTGGTCGACAATGTTTTATACTTAAACACGTTTTGATACCACACGATTTAAAATGATCAAATCGGGTCCGGATCCGAGGAAAAAAAAATCCCCAAAAGTCTGTATCAATATATCAGTGTAAAGCATCGTACTCGGATACCGTGCCCGAGACCACCTCTTCATGCAGACTCGGGCACGGTATCCGAGTACGATACTTTCCACTGATTAATGTGTACGGTCTGCGGTAGATGATGAACGCTACATGACGTCATTCTACACGGCTCCTGTTGTATCTGCGCCGCACGAGCCCGTTCCCTCCTCTGAGCTGCACGGTGAATGAGGACGCAGGAAGTGGGGTCGATGTTGGCGTCTCAGAAAGAACAAAAACATCCACAGTTAGCAGGAAGGACTCAGTCCGCCAGTGGTTGCCATGGTTACTTCTTCTTTCTGCTGTTTGGCAGATATGCAATTCAAACTGTGTGCATACTGCCCCCTGCTGTATCGAACAGTGAACAAACGCAGCTGTCCTCGGGGAAAGAACGATGTTCCTGATGTGAACACCGACCAGCGGGGGAGGGAGGGGGGAGGCAATCGTGCTCGGGTGCTGTGCCTAGTTTCACAACATGATCTGTTTTCACCAGTATCCTCAGTTTAGATAGAAATCATTAAGCGTTTATATAAACAGTTAGTCTTCAGTTTAAACTTTGAGCAGCTCAGAGGTTCAGTTTATTCATTAAAGGAGTTCAACAACCTGTGTGTGTGTGTGTGTGTGTGTGTGTGTGTGTGTGTGTGTGTGTGTGTGTGTGTGTGTGTGTGTGTGTGTGTGTGTGTGTGTGTGTGTGTGTGTGTGTGTGTGTGTGTGTGTGTGTGTGTGTGTGTGTGTGTGTGTGTGTGTGTGTGTGTGTGTGTGTGTAGGTTGAGAACGTTCCCGTGTGCGGCCGTGGAGGTGAAGAACGAGCCGATCCTGGGCTTCAAAGAGGGCAGTGCAGAGAGAGCAGAGCTGCTGAAGGTTTCTATCTGTCTCACTCTCACACTCTGTCATTCTCCCTGAAGTTTACCTTTTCATTTCATCTCCTGCTCTGGATTCAATCGTTTCAGGCGTTGGACGGTCTGAAGGGGACGACGGAGGAGATCCCGTGCGTGGTCGGAGACGAACATGTGTGGACCAAAGACGTCAGATATCAGTTATCTGTGAGTCACAGAATGTCTGCTGCACGAGGATCCTCTGCTGACATTAAGTCTGTTCCTATGACAGAGTACTCGGGCTGCATTAAAGAAACATAATCAGATTTACACTTTTACATTTACACTAGTTCCCTTTTTTTTTAACTTAAAAAGTTGGCTGCGTCTTACACACTGGTGCGATCGATAAAACAGAATTAAATGCGCGCACACACACACACACACACACACACACACTGTCATTCCCGCAGCCGGCACCATCACACACTGCACGCGAGGTGAGGCGATTATTCCTCCCTGTTTATTGAGTAGTTCAAGTTCAAGTTATCTTTATTAGTCAAATGCACAACAGAACAGGCAAAGCAGTCATAGCTGGCAATGAAATGTTTGTGTTCCAAGCTCTCCTTAACAATGCAAAAAATAAAAAATAAATCGCACGCTGAGCTGGGGAACACAGCGACCCGTCTGGCTCCTCCCTCTCTCCTGCTGTTAAAGCAGACAGTGTCATACTGTTCAGTCAGTAAAACTTCTCTTCTGATTGAAAGTTAACGGGTGGCCAGCGGAGTCGTGCAGCATGAGCACGGCGCACAACGATATTCAATCTGTTATTAAACCCCAAACGACTTTTCCTCGTAATTTAACGACTTTATTCTCGACGTCTCTGATTCGTTCTGCTGCCCTGATGCTCTGTCATCACACGCATGTTGATGAATATTTTAAAATTGTTTAAAGTTTTATTAAAGAATCTCCCACTCATTGACTTCTTCTTTTTTCTGTCTCGTAGCCGTTCAACCACTCGCACAAAGTGGCGAAGTTCTGTTACGCAGATGAGGTAAGATGTTGCTCGCCAGGTGGACACGGCGCCTCACTGAGGTCGTTGTCCTGATGTGATATGTGAGTGTCGGTCTGAAAGAACGACCTCTGACCCCGGCTGTTTTTTTTGTTGTTTTTTTTTTCCAGGCGCTCATCAACAAAGCTATCCTGGCGTCTGTGGCGGCGAGGAAAGAGTGGGACCTGAAGCCCGTCCAGGACCGAGCCCAGATCCTCTTCAAGGCAGCCGACGTCATCAGTGGACCCAAGAGGGCGGAAATCCTCGCCAAGACCATGATCGGACAGGTAGACGAGACGCAGGGCAAACTAACCGCAGAGGTTTAGTTTACAGGTCAGGGTTAAATCTGTAACTCCTCCCCTTCAGTCGTTTGAAGAGAGAGAGAGAGAGCTTTAGTTTTTTATAAGTTTGAACCTTACAAACCGATCTCAGCTAGCATGTTATAAATAGCCACTGCCTATAGTCGTCATGGTAACAGATGAACACTCAAACACATACTCCACATGCTAACAGTTAGCTAACAACGGGCTGTAGTCGTCATGGTAACAGATGAACACTCAAACACATACTCCACATGCTAACAGTTAGCTAACAACGGGCTGTAGTCGTCATGGTAACAGATGAACACTCAAACACATACTCCACATGCTAACAGTTAGCTAACAACGGGCTGTAGTCGTCATGGTAACAGATGAATACACAAACACATACTCCACATGCTAACAGTTAGCTAACAACGGGCTGTAGTCGTCATGGTAACAGATGAACACTCAAACACATACTCCACATGCTAACAGTTAGCTAACAACGGGCTGTAGTCGTCATGGTAACAGATGAATACACAAACACATACTCCACATGCTAACAGTTAGCTAACAATGGGCTGTAGTCGTCATGGTAACAGATGAATACACAAACACATACTCCACATGCTAACAGTTAGCTAACAACGGGCTGTAGTCGTCATGGTAACAGATGAACACTCAAACACATACTCCACATGCTAACAGTTAGCTAACAACGGGCTGTAGTCGTCATGGTAACAGATGAACACTCAAACACATACTCCACATGCTAACAGTTAGCTAACAACGGCTGTAGTCGTCATGGTAACAGATGAACACTCAAACACATACTCCACATGCTAACAGTTAGCTAACAACGGGCTGTAGTCGTCATGGTAACAGATGAATACACAAACACATACTCCACATGCTAACAGCTAGCTAACAATGGGCTGTAGTCGTCATGGTAACAGATGAACACTCAAACACATACTCCACATGCTAACAGTTAGCTAACAACGGGCTGTAGTCGTCATGGTAACAGATGAATACACAAACACATACTCCACATGCTAACAGTTAGCTAACAACGGGCTGTAGTCGTCATGGTAACAGATGAACACTCAAACACATACTCCACATGCTAACAGTTAGCTAACAACGGGCTGTAGTCGTCATGGTAACAGATGAATACACAAACACATACTCCACATGCTAACAGTTAGCTAACAATGGCTGTAGTCGTCATGGTAACAGATGAATACACAAACACATACTCCACATGCTAACAGTTAGCTAACAACGGGCTGTGGTCGTCATGGTAAGATGAACACTCAAACACATACTCCACATGCTAACAGTTAGCTAACAACGGGCTGTAGTCGTCATGGTAACAGATGAATACACAAACACATACTCCACATGCTAACAGTTAGCTAACAACGGGCTGTAGTCGTCATGGTAACAGATGAATACACAAACACATACTCCACATGCTAACAGTTAGCTAACAACGGGCTGTAGTCGTCATGGTAACAGATGAACACTCAACACATACTCCACATGCTAACAGTTAGCTAACAACGGCTGTAGTCGTCATGGTAACAGATGAATACACAAACACATACTCCACATGCTAACAGTTAGCTAACAACGGGCTGTAGTCGTCATGGTAACAGATGAACACTCAAACACATACTCCACATGCTAACAGTTAGCTAACAACGGGCTGTAGTCGTCATGGTAACAGATGAACACTCAAACACATACTCCACATGCTAACAGTTAGCTAACAACGGGCTGTAGTCGTCATGGTAACACCACCTTTAGAGGGCGCCTGAAAGCAGCAAACTGAAGTCCAACATGTTGAAGCTTTCGTCTCTGTCCCGTTTGTGTTTCAGGGTAAGACGGTGGTCCAGGCTGAAATCGACGCTGCTGCAGAGCTGATCGACTTCTTCAGATTTAACGCCAAACACGCCGTGGAGCTGGAGAAAACTCAGCCGTTAGACGCTGACGGGAGCACGAACACGATGTTATATCGAGGTCTGGAGGTAAGAACAAAAAGATTTAAATGTAAATGTCTTTTTATTTCACTAACGCCGGTTCGTGTTCCGTTAAACCCGGAGTGTTTTAAGATAAAGTCTGTTTTTATTCTCGTGATAATTCACGTTTAAATCTGTCGCTTCTTTTTCTTTCAGGGGTTCGTGGCGGCCGTCGCTCCTTTCAACTTCACCGCTATTGGTGGAAACCTGGCAGGTACCCCGGCTCTGATGGTGAGTTCAGGACACCTGGGATTCTTCTGTCTCCAATCACTCTGTTAGCTACGTAACTTTTGTTTACCTGCCACCGTGGCCGGGAGGTTGAGGTAATTCATACACTGCATCGCTGCAGAATCGTCCACATGGCGTTTTTTAAAATGTATTATTTTTAAGTGAAAGGAGTTTGCTCGCCAGTTTTTCCAACGGATCTGAATATTATAATCTGATGGCGGCAGCTGTCGACCAGCAAGTCGTGTGTTCTGGGCGCTAAAATAACGGTTCTTATCTGTTGAGTCTGTTGTCTTTGTAGAGAGTTACGTAAAAGGAAGTGTAACGACGTAACGGGAAGTGTAACGACGTAACGGGAAGTGTAACGACATAACGGGAAGTAGTGTAACGAAGTAACGGGAAGTGTAACGAAGTAACGGGAAGTGTAACGACGTAACGGGAAGTGTAACGACGTAACGGGAAGTGTAACGACATAACAGGAAGTGTAACGACGTAACAGGAAGTGTAATGACGTAACAGGAAGTTTAACAGGAAGTGTAACAACGTAACCGGAAGTGTAACGACATAACAGGAAGTGTAACGACATAACAGGAAGTGTAACGACGTAACGGGAAGTGTAATGACGTAACAGGAAGTTTAACAGGAAGTGTAACAACGTAACCGGAAGTGTAACGACATAACAGGAAGTGTAACGACATAACAGGAAGTGTAACGACGTAACGGGAAGTGTAACAACATAACAGGAAGTGTAATGACATAACAGGAAGCGTGCGTGCATTTGTCTCTGACTCAGCGGAGCTGCTGGTTTGTTTCAGGGAAACGTGGTTCTGTGGAAACCCAGCGACACCGCCATGTCTGCCAGCTACGCCGTCTACAAAGTCCTGAGGGAGTCCGGTCTGCCTCCAAACATCGTCCAGTTTCTACCAGCTGATGGTCCCGTGTTCGGAGACGCCGTCACCTCCTCTCAGCACCTGGCCGGCATCAACTTCACCGGCAGTGTTCCGTAAGCACATTTCTTTAGTACAGTGTTTTTACAAACGTGGTTTCTGGGTTCATAGAAACTTTTGAAGTGACACTCTGAGACCTTGATTCAAAACGATGAAGCACAAAGAGAGCGTTTAGTGTTACCATAGATGAATACACGGATAGATGCGTCTCTGAAATGTGAATGGAAAACAGCCGGTACTAAAATGATCAAACCTTAGGACTCTGCAGTGTTTCTCCCGGATCAGCTGAGCCGACAGCCTTCATCGAAAGAATATTTTGGTGCCATAAAGACCTCCATTCTCTACCAGTTAAAGCCCTTACGCACCAAGGAGATCGTCGGCCGTTGGTGAGCGGTCGCCGTCCTAGTTTTTGCGGTGGGTCTGGCTCCGTCGCTACCTGTTGGCCCCTGTCGGTCTTTTTGTGATTGGCTCTGATTGGCTGTTGGGAGGTTTAATTTCTCTCCTCTCAGGTTCAGTAAAGCCTCTTGAGCATGTCTCTGTAGTCTCCATGCTTTCACCCATTAGTGCTGTTTCTCCTTATTTGTCTCCTCCTCCTCTTCTTTTCTTTTTCCACTAAAAGACCAAGAGCTGGCAACGCCAGCGCCATTTTGAACTTTTTATCAGAAATTATTCTCCATTAGTAGACGACCTATAATACGAGTGGTGACCGACAGCGGTGTCTCGTATCATAACAATGGACTACCGCCCCCTGCTGGCATGGAGAGTTATTTCCTCTCACACATGAGCAGAACGAGGTGATTGGCCGTCGGCTGGAGTTTTTGCGGTGTGTTCAAGTGCAACTTTTTGGACACTAGAAAAATTTGGCCAAGAAGACGTTGAATAAAAGCAGAATTTAAAAAAAGAGACGCATGATAAGAGAGACCGTATTCTTTACTAATGGTGGAGTTTGATAGATATCTGTTCTGGTTCCACCTCTTCAGGGATTATTTGCTTTCATACTGTAACGGGAAAATATAGAGGACACTTTTCATAAGCATGGTCTTTACAGGAAGAATATACGACTTTTTGATCCAGCAGATGTCGCCCTTGAGCTCCAGCATGAAACCAAAACAACTCGCGCTGCATTGTTGTGTTAGCATGCTAATGCTAGTGATCTTTATTATGCTGGTATCTTCACACTGCATGTAAATTTACCTGAAATGAGCGTGATCTAGAAACACAGTTAAGCAGTGAGTACAGTATGTTATTCTTCTTTTCTCTAGTCCCTCAATTAAACAACTTTTATACACGAGGGGAGGAGTCAGCCGGCCGTCCAGGCGATGTAAACAAAGTGAAGATAGGACTCTGAAAACATCACAGACAGTGGGACTCGGGTGTTACACCCTTTGTAGACAGTCATGACTCACAGAGTTATTTTCAGAGGATAGACTTGATTTGTGAAAAGAAAAATCAATCATGAAAAATCACATATGAAGACTTTAAAGGAAATCTAAGTTATTAAATAATCTCTCTTAAAGATGTTTAAAAATCTGTTTTCTGTTTTCAGGACGTTCAAGCGTCTTTGGAAGCAGGTGGCACAGAACCTGGACACGTACAAGAACTTCCCTCGACTGGCTGGAGGTGAGAGAGAGAGAGAGAGAGAGAGAGAGAGAGAGACACCTGTAGGGGGCGCTGTTCTTTGTAAATGTGTTCAAACAGACCGTATCTATGGCGAGATCACAGGCTCCTCCTCTGAGAGCTGCATTTACTGATCCTCGTGTTCTGTGAACATTTTCAGAGTGCGGCGGGAAGAACTTCCACTTTGTCCACAAGTCAGCGGACGTAGAGAGCGTGGTGAAGGGGACGATCCGCTCGGCGTTTGAGTATGGCGGTCAGAAGTGTTCCGCCTGCTCCAGGATGTACGTAGCTGACAGCGTGTGGCCGCAGATCAAACAGCAGCTGCTCGCCATCCACAAGAACATCACAGTGGGAGACGTGAGTCAGACACTCAACAGGGCGACGTCTACGCTCGTAAACCTGGCGGGGCATCGGATAGCTTAGCGGTCATGACGTGCACATCATGTACTGAGGCTAACCCAGCGGGCGGGGGTTCTAACCCGACCTCTCTCTCCTCCTAACACTGGGCGTGTTTTATTTCCTCTTCCTTAAATTTAAGACTCCCCTGAAACACCTTGTTAGCTGATGATTTCATTAAATATTAAATTATTTCTTCATCCGTTTTTTCTCCTTCAGCCTGTGGAGGACTTCAGCACCTTTTTCTCGGCTGTGATCGACGAGAAGGTGAGTTCATCTCCTGCAGTCTTTAGTAAACTGTCATCGACTGTATCTCATCGTCTGTTTCCTCCTGCAGTCATTCGCTCGCAATAAGAGATGGCTCGACCTCGCCAAGTCCTCCCCTAACCTAAAAGTCATTGCTGGCGGTAACTGTGACGACAGTAAGGGTTACTTTGTGGAGCCGACCATCATTGAGACCACGGACCCGCAGGAAGCCATCATGCACGAGGTGACCAACTTTTTTTTTTTTTTTACAGGCCGGTTTTATCTGGATCAAACCGTTTGAACAAGTGGACCCTGCTGTTGAAAAATCAGACCAATGCGGAAGTGCAAAAAACTGCAGTTCCTCCAGTGTCCACTAGAGTCTGTCTCCTGCAGTGAGTCAGTCCTCATAGAGCTGTATGTTAAAATGTCCAACTTTACAGCTGCAGTTCCTCCAGTGTCCACTAGAGTCTGTCTCCTGCAGTGAGTCAGTCCTCATAGAGCTGTATGTTAAAATGTCCAACTTTACAGCTGCAGTTCCTCCAGTGTCCACTAGAGTCTGTCTCCTGCAGTGAGTCAGTCCCCATAGAGCTCTATGTTAAAATGTCCAACTTTACAGCTGCAGTTCCTCTAATGTCCACTAGAGTCTGTCTCCTGCAGTGAGTCAGTCCTCATAGAGCCCATGTTAAAATGTCTAACTTTACAGCTGCAGTTCCTCCAGTGTCCACTAGAGTCTGTCTCCTGCAGTGAGTCAGTCCTCATAGAGCTGTATGTTAAAATGTCCAACTTTACAGCTGCAGTTCCTCCAGTGTCCACTAGAGTCTGTCTCCTGCAGTGAGTCAGTCCCCATAGAGCTCTATGTTAAAATGTCCAACTTTACAGCTGCAGTTCCTCTAATGTCCACTAGAGTCTGTCTCCTGCAGTGAGTCAGTCCTCATAGAGCCCCATGTTAAAATGTCTAACTTTACAGCTGCAGTTCCTCCAGTGTCCACTAGAGTCTGTCTCCTGCAGTGAGTCAGTCCTCATAGAGCTCTATGTTAAAATGTCTAACTTTACAGCTGCAGTTCCTCCAGTGTCCACTAGAGTCTGTCTCCTACAGTGAGTCAGTCCCCATAGAGCTCTATGTTAAAATGTCCAACTTTACAGCTGCAGTTCCTCCAGTGTCCACTAGAGTCTGTCTCCTACAGTGAGTCAGTCCCCATAGAGCTCTATGTTAAAATGTCTAACTTTACAGCTGCAGTTCCTCCAGTGTCCACTAGAGTCTGTCTCCTGCAGTGAGTCAGTCCCATAGAGCTCTATGTTAAAATGTCCAACTTTACAGCTGCAGTTCCTCCAGTGTCCACTAGAGTCTGTCTCCTGCAGTGAGTCAGTCCTCATAGAGTCAGCATTTCCAGTATGGATACGGCTGCTGTTTGGCTTCATAACTCCTCTCCAGAAACCGATGGGTGATGTCACAAAGGCTACGTCCATGTTTTATTCAGACTGTGATGAGGACTTGTTGGTGACCTCATGCTCTGTGTCGTGCAGGAGATCTTCGGGCCGGTCCTGTCGGTTTACGTTTATCCTGAGAACAAGTACAAAGAGGTGCTGCACCTGATCGACAACACGTCGCCGTACGCCCTGACGGGAGCCGTGTTCGCTCAGGACCAGTAAGACGTGATTATAAATACATGCATGTTTACAGGATGTGTGAGCCCCTGGTTTCTCCCCCTAGTGTCACCCCCGTGTCTCCTCAGGGTGTCGCACACTTACTTGAACTCTGGGAGGAAAGCAGGGTTCCCTTTTGAAGTGTCCAAAACATTTTTAACTGTGTGTGTGTGTGTGTGTGTGTGTGTGTGTTGCAGGACTGTGATCGACGAGGCAGCTAAAGTGCTCAGAAACGCTGCTGGGAACTACTACGTCAACGATAAATCCACCGGCTCCATTGTGGCTCAGCAACCATTTGGGGGCGCCAGAGCTTCAGGTAAGAGTTTACTCTAAACAACACCACACTGATTATAACACACACACACACTCCTCTCCTCTCTTCTCCTCCCC